GTCCATGTTGAAACAAGGGTCTGTTTAATCAACTGTGGCTTGTGAGGAGGTGACAGCTGGGTACTTGAGGACACAATGACCCCGGGTAACACACCCAAGAGTCTTCCCAGTGATCTCAGAGAGCAAGGATTTGCCGTGTGCAACACTATCTCATCACTAGCAGTCCACAGTCCTGGATAAGGTGTCTCTTCTGTGTGTGGTCTGGAAGTTTCCATCTAAGCTCCTGATGAATTTGAAGGACCACAGTTTTTCAAGCCACCTGGGCTGAAAAGGGTAACCATAGATTTTGAGTAGGCAGAAATGGCAGATGGATCCTAAGGAAAATCTTCCCTGTTCCTCACCTTCTTCCCTATTGATCGGTGCTCACCACACCAACAGAGTGTCACTGTCGCTTCACAAAGACTCTTGTTCTTTAGCTTCAAAACCTTTCCCAACCAGAGAGAGATTTAATCACCGAACCAAAATGTGCTGCCATATTTGAAACTTGAGTTAGTCTGAGAAAGCTGATGTGGAAAGTCCTTCCTCAAAGAAAGGAAATCAGCAAATCATTTTTCTCTCTCATTCAGATTCTTTTCTGGCCACCTGTATTTGTTCTTGTGTTTTTATCTCCCCAGCTCCATTCTCTTTTGTGTGTGTGTAAGAGTATTTATCCCTACCTCAGTGCTGTGTCCTGTTAATCAGTTTGGAAGAGTGGTTTTCCTGCTATCTTTTGTGTCTGGAAGAATGTTAGCTTCTGAGTGGATTCTGGTCATGGGTATTAATGCAACCATCCCAAGAACAGCAAGTCATCCACTGAACCCATTTCAAGTTCATTTGCATTGCACAATACATATTTCTATATTTGTGTGTAGATCTAAGAGGAGCTGAGACTTGTTAGAATTCGTACTACACTGCATGCTTAAAAATCTTAAGAAAATTCACTGACTGTCTCAAGAGTACTGTAATGCTTTTACCTTGAATATACTTGTCGATCTTTTGGAGATTGTGTGTGATTATGTAATGACTTATTATAAACTAAATTAAGGAGTTGCTGGTATTTAAATAAATATTCTAGTTATAAGTAACAAATTACATGTAAGAAGGCTAAAGAGGCTTTTGTATTTGCAGTAAGTAGGTGCTTACAGATTTACAGGGGTGCATGCAGTATTTATTTTGGTATCTGAGTAGTTCCTAGTGTTTATGAATATTGATATCAAATAACATGTAATAATTTTCTGTTTTTAAAACTGGAGATTTTGGTATGACTTAGCTTCCTATTTGCTCAAAGTTGTATTTTTATTTTTATTTATTTATTTTTGCTACTGGGGATTAAACTCATGACCTTGCACTTGCAAGGCAGGCGTGGTGCCACTGAGCTAAATCCCTGGCCCCAGTTGTGTTTTTATAATACAAGCAGTAGCACATTTATATCTATAGTAATTCATGGGTCAAAATATTGTAGGCATGACTTGGGAACAAATCTGTCAAATGGTTTAACTATTTTTATTTTATGTAGCTAGTCACATTTGACTGATATTTTCAAGTTATATACTAAGAAGAAACAAAAAAAGTGGGAATTTATTTGCATTTTTTTCTAGCTGAACCTCCTCGTTCCAGCGCTAGTATTTATGGTACTTTTGATTTTTATTTGAAAATAAGTAGTCGCCCTTTCTGATTTAACTTCTCTCTCTGCTCTGTGATCTCTTTCACCCATGCTGTTGTTGCTAATTGTATATTTTCTGGAAGTAATATTTGCCTCTTGTTTGGCATGTCAACTTTCTTTGAATAAATTTCAAGATGTGCTAGGGAATGGTGAGCTATATGAGACTTGGTTGTATCATTTAGAGATATTTCAATTTCTGTAAAGCTAACATGAACTGATATTTGATATCCATTATATTGTTTTAAATGGAACAGAGAAAGTTATATATATACCTTGACATAGTATTATAGTACTATTCTTTCTCCCTGGCCTTCATTCAGTCATGTAGCTCTAGTTCTCTTATTTTCATTTTAAAAGAACTATTTTATTTCTTTTTTTTCCTTCAGAAACTTCCAATACTTCTTTGGAAGTAACTGAAGTTGAAAAGACTGAATATGACCATTCTTTTTTTTAAATTGAGTTTATTGGTACATTTTAGGGATACAGTACAGTTACATTCATTGTTGGGATCTTGTACCTCTACATGACAGGTCTTGGTTCTCATTTTTCCCCTCTGTCCCTGCCCTCCCTTTACCCCTCCTCCCCTCCCCATTTACAAACACTTTATTTCCATCTTTTCATTTTCTCACATTTTTTTCTTTTCCCTTATTACCCTTCCCCTAGCCATCCCACCTTCCCTACACCTTTAGCCATTCTATATTTTAGAATAAATAAACTTTTCCATTTCTTAAAGCTAATAGGGCACAGCCAAAAATTTGTTTCCACAAATCTTAAATAAGTAAGGATCCACTAGGCACACAGTTTAGGGGATTTGTGTGGCTACCCTTAGTCAAAAACCCCCAAGGCTTTGATTTGTCCCCATCAGGGATCACAGTGGGGTTTCCATTCCCCACCACACAGATGGCATAAAGTATTTTGAAAACACAACAGCTGAAAAAGATCTAATTATATTTTAAACTCTTAAAGCTAGGACTAAATACCAGTAAGTCTGCAAGTATCACTTCCTGCACAGTAAACACATGTCAGGTGTAATACCTAATGCCCTTATACTTTTTGGACTCCAACTTTTGCAAAAGTTATTTCTCATTTCTTATCTTCTTTTTTTTAAATATTGAATTGAGACTAAACTTGTTCTTAATCTATCCTTTATGGCAGAGTCAAAAGATTGTCCAGTCTTTTAGGGCAGCTGGGTCTTAGAAACTTCTAATTTCATAAATCTGAGAGTTCATTTGAAAGCTGTGTTGCTTGTTTTTAATTTAGCAATGCACAAATATGTATTTAGTCCCCATGAAACATGTTTTAGCACCTGCTGTAGGAGTGTGAGGAGGGTACCTCCCCCGAAGAGCAGGTACTTTAAAAGGTGACTGGGTCATGAATGGACTAATGTCATTATCATGGGATTGAATTCATTATTGTAACATTGTTTTCTGGGATAGAAGGATGAGTTTGGCTCCTGTCCCTCTCCCTCCCTCCCTCCCTCTCTCTCTCTCTCTCTCTCTCTCTCTCTCTCTCCCCACTCCCCGCTTTGCCTTCCACCATGGAATTATGCAGCAAAAATCCCCTCACCAGACCCTGAACAGATGTGGCCACTATGCCCTTGGCCTTCTCAGCCTCCAGAACTGTGATCCAGGGTGAAAGGCCAGAAATGGTAGCACCGAGTCTTCTCTCAATTAACAGAGAAAAGACAGGGCCTGTAGCAAAGCAGAATGAGGCAGTCTTGCAAGCAGAGAAACTCAACATGCTTGGGAAGTTCAGAGAAGCAAGATCCAGCGGACAGGAGTAAGGGTCTCAAGGTAATGGGGAGCTGTTAGGCGGACAGACAAAAGAGGTGGCTTGGGAACAGGGCCTTGACAGAGGGAGAGGCGTGAATGGGAGGAGGAAGGATAGGAAAGAAGTGAATAGAAAGGTTAGAGGGAAGAGCAAGAACAAAACCGGAAAAGGCAAGGCCGTCTGAAGCATGATTCGCTGATAACTGGAGAATGGACCAAGTTATGCAAATCAGGGATGGAAATTTAGAGGCTTCTGGACGGCCTTAAAGATCCTAGCATTCTGTGCTGAGGGAGCCGGACTTACGTGGAGGAGGTCCTCCTGTCTAGGTGGAGGGGTCACAGGCGCTGAGCGTCGCTCAAGGACATGGGAAAGATGGGCAGAAGGAGATGGGTGGCAACGTTCAGTCTGCTCCGTACGTGTTCTAAGTGGAATTGAATTAAATGGAGCACATTAATGACAAGATGAGAGAATCGATGTATTCAGAGCATTCGTTCTAACCAGCGCAGTTGAAAACTAGATAAAACATTATTTTATGATCCGTGATTCTGGTTAGAATCTCTGAAGGGAAAGCTGATTATGTAGTTTACACCTAATGCATGTTTTTTTTTTTTTTTTCCCTGAGAAATACTCTTCTCTCACAATTCCATTTTTTTTCTTCTTTTCCTATTTTTTTCTCCTTTTTATTCTAGGGTTTTCAAACAAGAGCCATGTCTCTGCCACCCTTGGCCCTGGGGAAAATGGACACAGCGTTTTTGCATCATGGCAGAATAAATATATGGTATTATGGTGCTGAAATCATGTTCTGAAGATTTGGATAAAGAGACAACATCATAGTCAATATCTGGGCTTTCACCAACTGGCCATTGAGACTTTCTGTCCATCCACAAAAAACAAATCTGTAACAGTAAATGTAAAAGAAGTTACATGTACACATACAATACAGATTTGTGTGATCACCAGACATATCATGGGAGATAAACCCACAGATGCAAACAAGTACATATGGCAGCTATGGGATAGCAGACATGTTCAGACAATCCCTTCATGTAACATAGTTTTAACTTTTACAAAAGCATCTACTAATGAGAAGACAGACTCTGCCTCTTTTCTTCCTCTGTGAAGTTGCTGGGTTTCTAGCAAGGTCCCTACATGGCAGCATCAGGAGATGAAGGGCAGAAATACCCAGGACGCTTAGCATTTCTGAAGCGCTCATACTCAGAAGCCTCCTCTCCGTCAGTGTGCGGTTAGAAGGACCTGAGTGAAAAAATAGGCCCCTCTGAGGATATCATCAAGTGGAAGAGTTTCCACTTTACCTTGAGCTATATCGAAAAAAGGACAAATACAAAAATCTGATCTAAGTAGGACTCCTATTGAACCCTCCCCCATTTTTCAGGATCCATGTTAAAACTATTAATTAACTAAATGGATTGTTGAACTACTTTCATTGAGAAACACTGCAGTGCAGTTTATAACTATTTATATTACAACATCCAGCTACGTACAACGGGTTATGTTTGACTCTACTCCCCGCCACCCCCCACAGCTTATTACAAATCTAAAATAACTGCTACAATTCATTTTTTTTTTTTGGATTGAGGTGTTAAGTTATATCTATTTTTACCTAGTTGAGAACTAAGCCCAAGAGAGTGCCTGCCACTGGAGAAAGCTGGTGTGTCTATTTGCATACAGGCATGCAAGGGGCATGGAGTTTGTTCATGGGACGTGTGTTGTTCACGTAGAAAGGTATGTTGCTGTGGGTGATGTTCATGGATGAGAAGGGCTGTGGCCCACTGCAAAGTTGTGTTCCTGTTTGAAATTCCTTGCAGCCTCAGGGCAGCTGCTGTCTGCTTCTTGACTGCCTGTACCTTCTTCTATGACTGAGTTTTCATGAGCATCACCTCAGAGGCTTTGTTCTTGGTGATTTCCCTTCAATTCTCCATCAGGAAGGGCAGAGGGATCGAGCATTCTACCCACAGTAAGTACACAATCTATCCATATGGAGAGGCTATCTTTTTATTGACATAGTTAGAATGTAAGACCAGTGTGAAACGATATATTGTAATCAAATGTTCAGTGATTGCTAGTTGCTACCCTCTCATTGTCCTATTTGATAATTTGTGACAACAGATCTGTCCAATTAGTTTTCTCTTTTGTGGAGAGTTTTGTATTGAGAAGTTCTTCCTGGATGTGGTCATGACTTTTGTGTCTCGTGGAGTGATTGCTTCTCTGGCTGATTCTCTGTCATTTGCTTATTGGAGAATTATCATCCATAAGAACAGTTCTCCAATAACTGCCCCAGTATTTGAAAATACATTCACAACTTGTTGGCCTGGGGGACATTCCAGAGGATAAAAAAGCAACTTACACTAGCTCCTATGCCTGAACACTTGCTCTATTGGACTGCAATGATTTCCAGGCACTGGATTTAATGAGACTTCACTTTTTTACTTTGAAGAAAGCTAAAGTGATCTTTATTTTGAATTGTGTCTTGCTTTGAGTTACATTTTAGAAAAGTAGCCAGGCAACTCTTTGGGAGCACTTTTGTTATTTCTAGTTTTATCTAAGTCTGTAATACTTATTGTCAACTTTATGCCATCGGTCTTAAGTCTAACCCTCTAGTTTTGGCTTCTTTTACTAAGTCTTATTTCTACCATGTAATTCAGGAACACATACACTACTCAGTAATCCTGCAATATAGGAAGATGCAAGTTGGCTTTTATGGGAGTTGGATATGATTTTACTTCTATGTATTAGCTTATTTAGTGCTCACAACAACTCTGTGATTTAGGTAGGAGGGTTATTCCCATTTTGTAGAAAAGGAAGTTGAGTCTCAGGGAGGTTAAACAACTTTCCCAGCTAGTAAATGAAGTTAGAGTCCAGATTAAGACATATTTGGTTCAAAAAGCTATAGGACTGACTACTTTCCTACATAATGCCAAGCAGACCCTTCCTGATTGGAAATCTATAATTACTCAGTCAAAAGAGTATATAGTCTCAAAAACAATTCAAAGACCAAGAAATTAAAGGTAAATAGCTGGTCTTGGCCCTACTTTTCCATATTTTTGTATGCCTATTTCTCTGGGTAGCCCTGGAATTGTTAACTTGGTGTTTCTTTCCTTCTTATAAGAGATGCTATTTCTGTTGAAGTTCTGCTGGATTTGGAAATTGTTCTCATGACTAAGTATCTGTTTGCCTAGTAAGAGCCCAGGGTTGGCCATGCTGCCCAGGGATAGGTAGCTAAGCACTTCTGTGTGGGAGTCGTGGGCTTAGGATCCACTCAGCTCTTCGAAAGTGACAAATTGAGGTGGGGGGAATATGAAATTTATAGGATTGCCCTCCAGCCCCATCATGGGCTTCCCAGTTGGGCTCTATCACCTGAAGGGTCCCCGCTGGTGAAGCAGTGGGAATGCAGAGCAGGGTGTTTTCTTAAGAAATGGTTTGGAGACACTATTTTCAAAAATGGGATTCCAGGGCCATTCCCAAGATGAATATCAAATATAAGAGAAAGCTTGGTTCTCCAATGAGGCCTGGAGAAAATTAAGTATTTTTAATTGACACATATTCTATTATTATATACATATAAAAAGGATGAGTCATATGTCATATCAGATGGCTTGTTCAAACTGTCAGAGTAAGAGCTAAAGCATGAGTAACATTCCAGAGAGCTTTCTGCGAAATTCAAGCGGTAGAAAGTGACTGTAACCAGCTATATGCATTTGTCTACTACCAAATCATCCTTGGAAGATCTTGAGGGACCAAAAAGGGTTGCCCAAAGTTTACGGTGGGGTATTTCTAGAAGAGAGGAAGGAGACCAATAATTTAAATTTACTTCACTAAAAAGCCAAATAGCCATTGGTATCAATGTATGTGCATTTTATACAAAATCTGGGATTGGCTCTGGAGTTTTGGGGGAGGGCGCTTTCACTATCAACAATGACTACTGAGCCCCTTTTCTAAATCTCAGTCGAATCTTAAGGTATGAGGGCTAGCACTTGCAAAAATCAAACTTGGCATCAGAGGAAAGAGGAAGGAGAAACATCTCAATTACTAACACTATTAACCGCCAGTCTTGGAGGGAGGGGGGATAGATGTGTTAATATTGAATGGCAAGCAAGCTCAAAAGATGGCCCTGATACTGCGCAGTTCTTTGGCTCAGACTCTTTGGTAGAGACTACCTTTCCAGGGTCCATACCAACCCTTATTGGGTTCCTCCTTTGGATAAACATTCCTCAGGGAGATGGCTCCGTGTGTCTTGAAGTTTTGATTAAACTTTATTTAAACCTCTCTATTTTAAAGAAAATTCCTTTTGATCCCCCACCTCCATTCAGCTACTATAAAGAGGCCAAATGGATGTGAATAACTTGGTGCACCAGAGAAGACTTTATTTCAGGAATACAGGAGCCTCCCTTGCTGATACCATATCATGCCATTTTTTCCTCCAAAAGAAAGATGACTTTTGAGAAGTGACCAAGAAGATGTATTGAGAAAACAGGAAGGGTAATAAGGGAAAAGAAAAAAAATATGAGATAATGAAAAGATGAAAATAAAGTGTTTGTAGATGGGGAGGGGAGGAGGGGGTGAAGGGAGGGCAGAGGAAAGGGGAAAAAATGAGAATCAAGACTTGCCATGTAGAGGTACATTATCCCAACAATGAATGTAACTGTACTGCATCCCTAAAATGTACCAATAAACTCAATTAAAGCTGGAAAAAAAAAAAGAAAAGAAAAGAAAACAGGTACCACCTCCAGGAGAGATCTTACTACAAGTATGCTGCTTAAAAATGTGAAAATAAAGGTAGCTTGTGAGAATAAAAATGTACAGAAATACACATGTAATGACTCTCAGAGTCTAGATCCACATTTATGAAACCCTTTATCCTAAAGTAAAGGTTAAAGGTTTGAGAAGTGAGAAGGGACATTTTCCAGTCCCAGGATCCAAGGCTTTCTCAGCACCCACGTGGGTGGAAATATGACATGAACATCTGGGCCATGTGGAGCCAGGCAGGCTTTCTGTTGGTTCTCCAGGAAGACCCCCAGGAGCTGCTAACACTCCTCTTAAAGCCATCAGTGAATCTCCTCCTATCTGCTCATTTGACCTTATTTTGTTTGGAATCAAAGAAGGAATGAATGAGCTAAAGGGGTTGGGGTGAACTGAGGTGCATAGAACGAGGGAGCCTAGGGAAGCCCCAAGGAAATTTCCTGGCTGTGGAGCCCACAGTTACGGCTTCTCTGGGTCACCTGGGATGTTATTGTCTGCTTGCTGTCCTCTTATTTGTTCCTGCCTCTCATTTCAGCTTCTCGAGCTGTTGTAGTAAGTGACCCTCATCCCACATTGACGACCAAATGTCACCCATGTTTGATTGACAGCCATTGCTCCTGAATGCAAAAGTATGATTTAGGAATCATTTCTCTTTACCTATTTAGAGCCGTTCTTGGGTGCCTTATGTATTTGTGAGTGTGATAACTCAGCTGATATCTACTCTGAGGGCTTTCTATTAATATCTCAAATCTGGGTTGTTTCTTCTGCTCTCCCGCTGCCAATGGGGAGGGGGGTTTGTCGCATTTCCCCCTCCCTCAGTGTGCATTCGGGAAATCTGCTCCAGAGTTTATGGAGCTCTTTCTGCGTCTTAAGGGAAGTCCATGCTTAGCACTCATGCGAAGGTTGCTTGCTTTATTGTAAGACTTCTGAAGGCATTCTGACAAGTGATCATTTCTCAGGCATGTAGCACTTTAAGTAGATGCAACTTCAAGCCCAGTGGCGCTGTCTGCCAAGAGCTTGGTGGAATTGTAAGTCTGTTAGTCGAGTACGTACACAGGTCCACTGCCGTGCAGCACTTGTAAAAAGAACCAACCATCCCCCTACCTGCGGCGGACATGTCCATTTAAAACCACTTAGGAATGTCCTTTGGTGTTTTCATACACCTTCCTGCTCCTGGGGTAATACTTTATTTCATTTAGGAAGCTGGAGAGGAAATTGAGAAGGTTAAAAAAATCATATGTACCATCTGGAAAATTCTAAAGGGCCCTCCTTATGTTAAAAGTGGCATTTTGCAGAAACACCTGATTGTGGATGAGCCAGGAGAGAAATACTGGCAGCTTCCTTTCAACCTTCACCCTCGCCCTCCAGGTGGGGCTTCTGGCAGTGGGGAAGAGGAGGCCTCGTTGTGACCCCGGCCAAGGCTGGGCACAGCTGTCCCCTGCCCCAGGTTTGTCCTGCGAGAGCGCTGCCATCGCCTGGGTTCGGCAAGGGAGTATTCAGGATCTCGCTGCTCATCCATGTGCAGAGAGAGAAAAAAAGAGAGGCCGAAAGAAAAAAAATCCCACATTGTCAGAGTAATGCCAAACTCTCTCTGAGTGGGACGAGCACAGCAGATGCTGCACGGAGATGCCAAAGCGGCTCCCCTTCCTCTGTGCCTTGGGTGCCTATAAATTGCTCCGGCGCGCGTTTGTCAGCCTCCTCTCCTCCTGGCAGGTGGTGCCCAGGCAGAATCCTGCGCTCAGTCTCTCTCGCGCTCCGCTCCCGGCCGTGAGGCGCTCGCTGCTGCTCGCCCGCGGCTCCTACGCCACAGCCCCGAG